CTTATTAACCATCATGGTTCAGGAAAGTGCCCTCTAGTGGGGAAACAGATACCACATTCTGTAAACCAGTTACTGTAGAAATGTTTCATAGTTTTAAAGCATTTACCAAAGACCAAAGTGTCTCCCTGCATTAACCTTTTCACCACCGGTTCCCACTTTTTATCACAATTTCACAAAATAGTTCTGTTTACAGCCTGCATTTTCTTCAGATGATTGGGACAAAAACAGACACATTTTTTGAGTAAAAACTGAAAAGTAACTAAAATTTTGTCTGTTGGCTCCAAAATTAGTGTTCATTTCTAGAAATTTTGAAGAATATCAGAAAAAAGTGCAGAAAAATTGTGGCTGTGTCTGGTGGCGGAAAGGTTAAGTATTCAGATGACAACTTGACTGCTATAATATCTTTTAGAAAATTTTTCTTGCACAAAATTAAAGCGATTTATTTATTTTTCTGAGAAGGTCACATGATATACTTACAATTAGCTTGTGACGAATCATCTGATGCTGTCTCATCAGTCTCCGGTGGATGTTTACGATGTTTGGCGTACCAATCCGTCTAGAAGAAAAATCAAATAAATGATTTATTTTTGTTGCATTTGTATTTGACGTCAGTGACAATCTCTACACATTCCATTACCTCAGATTTGACAATAAAATAACACCAACAATGAGCACATTTTCATACCTGTTTTGCATCTATTGTTGCAGAACCTTTATGTTTTTCAGAAATACTCTGCCGTCCAAACCCTTCTCTTTGGAAGAAAGCTGCTCCATCATCTTCAGAACTCCTACAAACAAACAATTAGTACTAAATATAACCAGTCATTGTAACCATGGTGATGTCATTGTTATCATCTATATATCACTAAATGTACAAAACCATCAAATTAATAAGACTCAATGATGTTTCCATTAAAATGAATGTTTTTGTCTTTCACTGAACCAATTTTAGATTAAAATTTCATCTACAAGCAATAAATTATATTAATTTTATGCAAAGTATACATCATTGTTTTATTTGCTTTGAAAAGAAAACTAGACAAAGAAATTCATACTGAAAGACAATAGCTCACTCCTGAATAAGCTGCCAATCATCAGAAACAAAGATATCCCTGACATGATGTGCACATGTCAGGCTTCAGGTTGCATAGGAACATATTCAATAAACCATTCACACCTACACGCTCCAAGCAGCAATGACATGATCCAAAAGCTTGGTGACCTTGATAATACTGATATGCATATTAATGAGGTTATTTATGATTTTAAATTCTACCCCAAAGTGATTAGATTTGCGTGTACAAAATTTTGTACAAGTGAACAAGCTTGAAATCAGCTAATTAGTATGCAAAATAGGCAATTTATATGCACAGATTGCATGCAAAAATTAATCGGATCTGCATATTATTCCAGAGCAACTATGTACCAATTGTAATCTATTGGGTGGTTAAGAAACAGATGAAAAGTTTAATAATATTCAAATTATATAATTAATATGCACAGATTGCAACAAAAAATGATCAGGTACAAATGTATGTGCATTATCTCAGAGCACTGTATACCAAGTTTCATTGAAATCTATTTAATTGTACATGAGAAACAAGTGAAAATGCTAATGATACAATTAGGCAATTAATATTCACAAGTGATTCTTGAGATATCATCGGAACAGACAGGCTGATACACTAACTGCAAAGACTCTCATTGTGTCCTTCACACACAAGTAAAAAATGAACATATTAATTTTATATGAGTACTTTCCATGACTATTACATTATTTATTTTCTTAATTTGGTTGTGATTGAGTTTCCAATAACTTAGGGTGTCCCCAAACCCCTGTGTGACAAGCTCTTAATAGTCTCAGATGTACACCACACCACACTAAATTTGTTCAAAGACTAAAACATTTCCATCAATGCAAGAGCATGCACTTACTTTTGGTCTCCATTTTCTTTTAACCACTGCGAAGAAGAAGGTGCATTAATTGACGTCTCAGCTGCAACACCGTCCTATTCGTACACAAACATATTAGTGTCAATATTACAGCATTTTGACTAAACATGTCATAATCACCCTCAATGACATGAAAACAAAAATCAAATTTAACAATTAGAAAATACCATATATGTACTACCAACAAATTAATTATTCACTGGATTTTAATTTTAAAGTTTTCACTCGTAAGTGAAATCCAATAAATTAATACAATAGAACTCATTGTTTCAATAAACAAGCAGCCTATCGGCTGAGTTAGCTCCGCTGTTAGCAATGCACATTTCAATTAAAGAACTGAAGACATCATTAGAAAATGAACAATATGTATAGTATCAAAGCAATCAGACTTACAGTTTTTAACAAGAAGTCGAAAATATCACTTTCTATCAAAAATGACCAAAATATTTACCAAAATTAGAGAATTGAAGATATCATCACGAAATGAACAAATCTGAGAAAGGTCTACATGTAGTATCTATATGTGTAATATCAAAGCAATTGAACTTTTGGTTTTTAACAAGAAGTCAAAAATATCACTTTTTACCAAATATTACAAAAATATTCACCAAAATTAAAGAATCG